GAGACAGTTCCCAGAGTCAGTCTCCAGTGCTCAGTTGAAGCAAGCCTCGCATCGGCTGACCAAGATTCGCGCAATTTCCGGACTCATCTTCAATCCAAGAACAATTATTTTGAAGAGCGACTTAGATCCAGACCACCAAAATAATTTTTTTTCGACTTTCGCCCGAAGACACACCGAAAAACCAATTTCTTAAAGAGCAAACAACTTGAAGTGTTAAAACTCGCCTAACGGAAAACAGCGTGTCACAATCCATAGAACGGGTCGGGAGATAGACGCAGTCCTATGTATCCAACAACTAGACATAAAGTTTGTTATCCTTTTCTTTGATACCTTGAACTTTTGAGTTATCATTTTATTTCTTTTATACGTATTTGTGCGATACTACCCCCGCTTGGACCCAACTTGCATTGCGGCCCCAACGACTCATTGATTTCGTCTGCCTAAGATCGATTCACAACTTGGGTAGGCGGATTGGATTCCCATCCGAATCACCAAAAGGTTAGAACGTCACATTTGGGTGCCGCGACCGATACTAAGCCAGTTGGTCGTCACAGGACGAGACAACACGACTGACGCGACAGGCGGACGTCACGTTTGGAGCGGCGACCCCCGAACAAAGCAGCGAGGAGCGAGCGAAGGCTGTGTTCAGGGACGTCACACCCCGCCTCCCCGGCTACGCCACTGATACTGAGATATCCAAAAAGGCGTGGCATGGAATTAGAACAGTCTACCCCCGTGTAATAAATAATGGGTTCAGTTCGTATTCCAACTTACATCACCTGAAGAAGGTCGGAACGTACAAAGGTCGAAACGTGGTTAATATAGCAGTAAAGATGTGGACAGCTATGTAAATATTGTGAATAATAGTTTTCTTTCTTTGAATTTTTTTTTTTATTTATTTGATTTTTATCAGCTATTGCGCTAAATTTTAGTCATTTCTTCGAAATTAAAATAATTTGTTAAAAAAAAAAAAAAAAAAGACTGAGATCTCTTACATCGCTAAATTAAGACGTCATGGATCTGATATGAGATCAAAAAGTACTGATCTCTGTGTTGACATATTAACCAAAAGCGATGAATTATCACTGTTTTGAAAAATAAGCTGTTGTTCAAAGACTCAGCAAATCCGATAAACTGGAGCGTTTTATCCGAAAGAATCGCCAAGGCAAAAGATTTTTTTTTCTCTCCAAGAAAATCATCTTTCATCTCATCATCTGAGGTTTCTTCAGCTTCCTGTCATATTTACTTTTCGACCAAAATTTTTTTCATCAACTTTACAAGAAGTCTTCTGCAAAAAATAAACCTTTGCATCAGTTTTATCTTTTAAAATAAATAACATTATATGAACGTTATATTTTAGCGGATACACCTGTTTGAGTAGAAGCCATGTATTTTTTTCATTTTATTTATTTACTTTTTTTTCTTTTTTTTTTTTTTGCACAGACTGAATTCTATCTACCGGTCTGTGCATTCAAAAGTCTTAATAAAGAAAATGCGTCATTGGGTAAAAATTGATACAATGTATTATCAGGCTTGCTTTAGAACACTCGAACAAAGAGAGCTTCCAAGACAGGAAGTACCAATTCCACTTGTAAGGAACGAGCAATCGGACATACCGATTTTGAGCCCTGCAGGGGTGAATATTCATCTTACTAAGACTCTCCAATGCCCAGGTATGTAGATGTAATCCACGCTGTTTAAAAAATACACATCGCTGTCTCTGTTGACCCCATATCTTTATACACGTTCGATCCATAATATTGAGAAATTTACCCATAAAATTATATTTTTATCAAATACATACATACATATATATATATATATATATATATATATATATATATATATATATTGCGCTTAGCATGAAATAGTCTGTCGCTTCTGAGTGTGGACTTCAATGTAATGTTATCTTATATATATATATATATATATATATATATATATATATATATATATATATATATATATATAATGAATCATTCATAAAAAAGTAGATTAGTAAAGTTAATGATATAAAATGGCGAAAACACTTCGCAAACAAAATTTTAAAGTTGCATTAACCTACAAACCATTCGATGAATATAATGATCCTTGTTTTTGATAACTACAACTTGTATAAGGTCTTTCTTTAATCTGCTAGTACTTTCGACTGTACACACAGTCATCCTCAGGCATGGAAATTATTTTGTTTTTAGTAAATCCAGGTAGCATCGGAGACAAAAGATTAAATGCGAATCGAAATATGTTTTTTTTAGAAATGTGTTATTGTTAACGGATAAAAACTTTTGGAGCGTGCAATCGCAAATCTAAGGTTGGATTTTTTTGTAAAATTTAAGAGTGCGTTTTTTACTAATATGGTACTTTGAGAAATTTTTTGTTGTAGGAGTTTATCAGTCAATGTGGCATGAACTAAATTGTTCAATAAATAGAGTAATGTCTCAGCTCTTATCCCGAAAATTTGCACGTCGGATCAGTTCTTTTAAATCAAATATGTGGTACAGTTCAATTTATATTACAATGAATCATTCATACAAAAAGTAGATTAGTAAAGTTAATGATATAAAATGGCGAAAACTCTTCGCAAACAAAATTTAAAGTTGCATTAACCTACGAACCACTCGATGAATTTTATGATCCTTTTTTTAATAACTACAAGTTGTATAAGGTCTTTTTTTTAATCTGCTAGTACTTTCAGGATAATACTCAGAGGCGATAGAAAGTTTCATGCTAAACGCAATCATGAGGACACATGAGTGTTAACTTCAATGTTGATTTTTATATTTACATACACTCTAGCTCTGATATTGAGCACTTTATCGCATAAATATAGCATACCTTAAAACTATATTTCTTCACACACACACACACATATATATATATATATATATATATATATATATATATATATATATATATATATATATATTATGAAATGGACAAAGTCCGACAATTATTTAAAGACATTTTATGTTTAACATTCTTTTTATAGATACAAGTATTTAAGTAAATGCTCTGTTTATAATAAACAGTATTAAATAACATTTACCGAACGGTAAATGTTATTTAATACTGTTTATTATATATTCTGGACATTCAAGCCGGTAAATGTTATTTAATACTGTTTATCATAAACAGAGCATTTACTTAAATACTTGTATCGATAAAAGAATGTTAAACATAAAATAATATTTAATATATATATATATATATATATATATATATATAAAGACATTTTATATATATATATGATAAAAATATAATTTTATCATATATATATATCTGTGTGTGTGCGTGTGTGTGTATGTATATATAGGCTGTATATTTTGGCAGCATGTTTTAATTTAAATATGTCTGACTAAACAATTTAGACATGTTGTGTAAAATCCTTTCGTAAACACGTATAAGCTTATTGCTTTATGAATGGCTTAATTAAATCTTTATAATCTCAAATATGTCGGAAATGTTTTAGCAGATGACGAGACTTGTCAGGCCGGAAGTAGAAGACTCTCTGGAATAGCGAAACATGCCTTCCCGAAACTAAGCAAATTATTAAGAAACAGGAAAATTTCATTAGAAACAATGAAAAGAAGAATGCTGAATTGAAATGCGTTATCAGTCCCCCTAAATAGCAATGAATACGGGACAATTTCTTCACAGATGGCGAGGAAACATGAGGAAACAGAGGCGTGGTTCTACAAGGGAATGTTGAGAATACCATAGACGGAATATATGAGCCATGAGGAAGTCTTCAGGTAAATGGATACTAAATGAAACATACTTAGAATCGACAAGAACAGTTGAAATCCAGAGAATACATAATGAGGAAAGAGCGCTTGGAAAATTTGATACTCACAGGGAAGATTGAAGGCAAGTGGGATAGAAAGATACAGAGAGTAACCTACCTAAAAAGCTTGTGGGAATGAATCGTAGAACAGGGAATGGAGTGTTGTAAAAAGACCAACATTGCTAAGAGCGATAAATTATAGGAAGCTATGGAGAGTCATAATCATGTCGTCCACATTCGATAGCATCACGATACCTAGAAGAATATCCCTCTTTTTATTTGGTGTACTCACTTAACACATTCTCTGTCTGCATCAAACGTGTTTGTTCCCAGTACACTTTACGACAAAGTGATAGACAATAACAATCGTTTAACGAATGGGACAACCGCTCGATGTGCGTACTAAAAACCACATGTTCAGTGAAACGTGTTATGATGATTTTCTAAGATCAGCTTAGATGCGGCACAAGGCCGAAAGGATGGGGTACCCAATGAGGCTCAAATTTACTACTCAGTCGTAATTGTTTTAGCGAGACAAGATTGATTATTATTGAACCGTGAACCCTGAATTCCCTTGTTCAACGTGTTAAACACTCAACTTGCGTCCCCTCTCTCTCTCTCACCCTCCCTCTGTCTCTCACTCTCTATCACACTCGCTCTCTCTTGTTCAAGAAAGAAAACAAAATGTAGGTTTTTACAGAGAGACATGTTATAAGTCGTTAGAAGGTGATGTCATTCCTGTTGTTATGACAGTTAATTTGAAGCTTAGGCCTGTCAACACCATCTGCGACAAAAGTTGTCAACGAATCTAACGTCGCTTCTTTCTACCTTTTCTCTTTTTTGTTGTTCCAACACATGTGTCAAAAAAAAAACGGGAGAAAGAGAATAGTTATGATAATGTTTGAATATAAAGAGACAAAAATGCAGAGACATATACAAGAATAGAAAAACATTTACAAGAATAGAAAAACATTTTGCTGGTCGTCTGTTCCGCAATGGAGCTGTTCTTGGAAACAAGCTGTCCGAGTGGGACTAACTTTGCTAATGGAATACGACGGGAAGGAGGAAGATTCCTCCTCGTGTACGTCGCATGGAAGGTCCCAGCTGAAAAGGTCAAGCCTGGTGGGATCAAGGAATGTATTTCGTTAGAGCAATTGTCATTGAAATATCAATAGAATAAATTGTTCTTTATCTATCTATTTATCTATCTGTTAACCTTAATAATCTAATATGAGATAGATAGATAGATAGATAGATAGATAGATAGATAGATAGATATTTATCGAGTCTATCTATGTATCTATTGAAACTGCTTATTCATATCTATCTATATAGTCTCTTCATATCTATCTATCTATCTATCTATCTATCTATCTACCCACTTTATTCTGTAAGAAATTCTGCAATTTAAGCTCCTATTGGCTAATTTTGTAACGACCAATCTCATTGGTCGAATTTTGACTTGGTTTTTTTCGCGGGCATTTTAGAACGGCCCGCGCCCTTTTGACTCAGTTGCGGATAAGTATTGGAAGTGTCCGGACTCATTTTGAATCTATTTGACAGATAGATAGATAGATAGATAGATAGATAGATAGATAGATAGATATGAAGAGACTATATAGATAGATATGAATAAGCAGTTTCAATAGATACATAGACTTGGTAAATATCTATCTATCTATCTATCTATCTATCCATCTAAATAGATAACCATGCCTATTTCATATCAGATTATTGTTAATGTTAACATGCACTGATGTCCTCAACGACAGATAGATATGAATAAAGTGGATAGATAGATAGATAGATAGATAGATAGATAGATAGATAGATATGAAGAGACTATATAGATAGATATGAATAAGCAGTTTCAATAGATACATAGACTCGGTAAATAGATATCTATCTATCTATCTATCTATCTATCTATCTATCTATCTAAATAGATAACCATGCCTATTGCATATCAGATTATTGTTAATGTTAACATGCACTGATGTCCTCAAAGACAGATAGATATGAATAAAGTGGATAGATAGATAGATAGATAGATAGATAGATATGAAGAGACTATATAGATAGATAGATATGAATAAGCAGTTTCAATAGATACATAGATAGACTCGATAAATATCTATCTATCTATCTAAATAGATAACATGCCTATCGCATATCATATTATTAAGGTTAATAGATAGATAGATAGATAGATAGATAGATAGATAGATAGATAGATATGAATAAGCAATTTCAATAGATACATAGGTAGACTCGGTAAATAACAGTAAAGAAATTTAAGAATAGATAAATAAAAATTATTTTTGACCCGGTTACTTTATTTACATTGTTTGGACTGTTGCCCTAATTTGTGTTGCCATATTCACGACGTTTCACTTGCTGTACGCTCCGGCCTTCTTCAGATGATTGACATTTTGAACTAAACCCTTTATTTCGTCCACCGAGGTAGATTGTTTCAGTTCCACGTGCCATGCCTCTTCTGGGTGTCTCATCTCAACTCCAAGTTTTCGTTTACCTCTGCTGTAACTCACAACACTTTGGGTCAAGTTACTGGAGGCAAACCAATGCTTTTATCCACTGGGCTATGTGTCCTTGAGGACATCAGAGCATGAAGTTTTGGGACTTATAAATTTAATATCTCTGTATTTTTTTTTTTAACCAGAGCTCAAATTGCAATTTTTGTTGTTATTTCTTTGCTCTTGTACTCGGTATTACTGGTTCCCATATTGTATTCATTTCTATGCTTGGCCGGCTTAGGAGATTATTGTGGCCTATCATATGTGCAGATTCTTTAAGTTTTCGTATTTTCCAGTGATGTCCTCGGTTTATTATCCTTTTCCCTCTATATGTAGTCATCTACGCCTGATGTTTCTATTTCCCCTGGTGTTACGTCTTTACGATATTTCTGCAGTCTTATCTTAATGGAGCGGCCTGTTTCTTCTTTGTATTTCTTACCACAGCTGCACGGGATGGCGTACACACAGTTCTTAGTCATGTTCTGCTCTATAGAGAGGGTGATTACTCAGGAGAGGTGTCTGCGAAGTGTTGAGCCACTTCTGAAGGTCGTCCCAATGTTATAAGGACCACAGATATTTTGTATTTTTTCCGATAATTCCATCACATAGGATGGACAGACCGAAGCTTTTTTCTGAGTGTAGTTATCCTCCTATACCCTTTTATCGCAGTTTGCTGCTGCCATGTACCCAGGATATTTGGTACTTTGTAGGGTACTTCTTATACTGACCATTTCTTCTTTATATGTCTCTGGGTCGCTACTTATGACTTGTGCTCGATGATGTAAGCAGCGGACGACCTCTTTCTTTACACTATATGAGTGGTGGGAGTAGAGGTATTGCCCGTGAATTATGGCTTGCGGTAAACGGATATCTTGAACCCATGCTCTGTTCGCGATGTTAGTACATCCCGGAAGGCGAGTTGTCGTTTTCTCTCTCCATTGTGAACTGTATCATTGATCGTATTGTGTTCAGATATGAGGACAGCAGTTCGAACAATGTAAATAGTGTAATTAATTATAATACCTCATCTCAGAGATATAGACAGATCCCGATGAAGGCTGAAGCGTCCAACGCTCGAAACGTCGTCAACATGGCAACAAAGATGAAGACAAAAGTCCGAACAATGTAAATACTGCAAGTAATTATCATACCTCATCTCAGAAATATAGACAAATTGTGGTGAAGTCTGGAGCGTTCAACGCTCGAAACGTCGGGAATATGGCAACAAAGATGAAGACAACAGTCCTAACATTGTAAATAGTGTAAATAATTACAATACTTCATCTCGGATTACAACAATATAAAGTTCACTGATTCTTGCGACAAATGATGTCAAGATGGCTAAATGTCTTCTCTCAAAACCTGGAAAAAGAAACTCAATTAATTTAGTATTTTTTTTTCGATATGAAACATTTTTGGGGGATGGACAATTATGCTATTAGACGATTTTGAGAATATTGCTGTTACACTCAGTATGCATATATATATATATATATGTGTGTGTGTGTGTGTGTGTGTGTGTGTGTGTGTGTGTGTGTGTGTGTGTGTGTGTGTGTAAAATATTCTCTTCATGAGTTTTGAATGGATTTTGGAGGTGGAAGCCTGAGTATGAATGTTGGTACCATTACTAAAGGCCTGAATGATCTGTTTCCTCTCACCATTGCTCATTTCGAAAAAACAGTGGCGCTGACGCGAAGTAATTTTTAACCTGTTCTGGATAACTTAAAGGGTTTTTCACTGATACTTACGACAAATGGCGTCAAGAGGGTTAAACGTCATATCTGAAAACCCGGAAAAAAGAAATTCAATTTGTTTTCTATTTTTTTAGATGTTAAACATTTTTGTTGGGGGGGGGGTCAGTTATGCTGTTACACCATTTGGACAATTTAACAGTTACACCTGGTATATATGACAAAGTGGAAAAAGTTTTCTTTTGACGTGTTTCGTCCTTTAGGACTTCATCAGACTAAATTGGTTATGTTGGTTCGACTACACATGCGCAGAAATGATTTCATTTCGATTCTTTTTCTTTCTCTCACTTTTATTAGTAGATATCCCACACGGTGATAATATAAAATCTGCCAGGAATGGTGAAAGATCGATGGCGTAAATTTACTGTAGATGACCTGGCGATCAAAATACTCTCTCGACATTTTCGTTGTAATGAATTGTTTTCACCTTTCATCAGACTAACATTTTTCATGTCAAGTTTGTGGTCAGTCTCGTTACGGTGGGAAACCGACACAAAACTCCCATCATCCATTGTTAGTGCGCATGTATAGACGCACTAATATAAAATTTTAGGCAGATAATTTTTTTCACTGCGTCATACATTTTGTTTTTGACACATAATAATATATCAAACGGTCGTGAATATGGCAAAAAAAATGAGGACAACAGTCCGAACAATGTAAATAATGTAAATAATTACAATACCTCATCAGAGAATTATAGACAGATCTTGGAGAAGGCGGGGGCGTATAATAGCCTAAACGTTGTGAATATGACAATAAAGATGAGGAGAATAATCCGAACAATGTAGTGTAAATAATTACAATGCCTCATCTCAGAATTATAGACAGATCTTGAAGAAGGCCGGAGCGTATAATAGCTGAAACGTCGTGAATATGGCAGTAAAGATGGGGACAACAGTTTAAACAAGGTAAATAGTATAAATAATTACAATACCTCATCTCAGAATTATAGACAGATTTTGAAGAATCTGGAAAAGAGTTCCACAGGAGAGAAGTGCGAGAAAAATATTATTAGGATAGAAAATACGGTTACATCAAGAAATTTCAACATTAGAATGATGAGACCTACCTGCCAATCTTTTTCTTCTTCTTCTATGTGAAGTGTCCATTCAGGTGATCGGGGCTCTCCACAACTTCCTGTCCTTTGTAGGTCTTAATAAATTTGCTCTTTATATTATTTATTATAAACCCTATTCCGCCATCCATTATTTACTCAAGCTAATTTAGTAAGTTACGCGTTGTTTTCCACTGTCCCAGTGGAAAACAACGCGTTTGCCTTCAAACTGTCTTGTGAGTATCAGATTTTCCAAGCTCACTTTCCTCATTATGCGCCCTAGAAATTTCAGCTCTCCCTTCCTGGTGTTAAGTATGCCCCCTTCTTCTATAAAACTTTGTCGTTGCTTACATGTTCGGTCCATGGTATCCTCATCATCCTTCTGTAGAACCATATTTACTCGCCTCAAGTCTCTTCTTCAGCCGCGAGGATATTGTCCAGCATTCACTGCTATATAGGAGGACAGATATAACGTATAATTTCAGTACTCTTTTCTTTGTTTCTAACGATTTTTCCTGTTCCTTAATACTTTGCTTAGCTTTTGGAAAGCATATTTCTCTATGTCAATGCGCCTTCGGATTTCAATGTCACAATTTTTATAGCACTGCCTAAGAAGTCAGGCGCAAACGAATGTTGCTAAGTTCGTACTGCTCTTAAATTCGTGATGGTCCAGGTTCCAAAGTGTAAGTCTGATCGGAATAATTTCCATGGAAATATTTATGGAAAAACTTGTGTTATTTCTCCAAAACTCTATTCCGCCATCTATTTATTCAAGTTCACTTAGTAAGTTATGCTTTGTTTTAAAAAAATGTCTTCCTGTTCATACGTGTGTTATTTGTCCGTTTTTTCTCTCTACGGGGTTTTGTTCCAATCTGAAGAACGCAGGCTCTCTGTTGCCAGGGACAACAAGACTAACCACTACCGCAGACCCAATCATTGAAATCTCGGTTTGGACTATAGGCCGACTGGAAGATAGTACTGCTCAGCCTTATTGGAAATCGATGAAAACTAAATATTACTTTCATCATCTACAAGAAAGGACTGCCTAGCTTCTTGGGTGACGTGGAACTGAGGAGAGGGGACAGGTAAATGAAAGCAGGGATGATAGATAGGCGGTGGTGGTGTGTATTGGGGGACGAGAATTATAAAGTGCACCAGATGAGATCCAGCCGAATCTGCAAATATTGACCTGTCCTCATACTAATGCCTCCCAAGCCTTGTTTCCTCTTCAAAGCCTTTTCACTTTCACATTCGTATTCTCATAAATTCTCTCTCTCTCTCTCTCTCTCTCTCTCTCTCTCTCTCTGTTACACGCACACATACTTACATATACACACATAAATATATATATATACACAAACATACACACACAAATAAACACACATACACGGTGAGATATGTAGAATGTCGCCGTTTTATATTTCTAATTTCGCGCATGCGCGTTGTTTGTTTCTGATTTTGTCGTCTGTACGTTATAGTAGGGACGGTGTGTCAGCGTTTGTGAGAAAAAGAACACCATGACGCAATTCCTTCCGTCAAAACTTTGGAAACGGCATGATGTACTGCTTGGCATTCGTGCTGGAACTCCAATACGAACATTTCAGGGCGTCTGGGTGTCAATCAGTGTGCAGAGGAACGGAAAGAGTTGGATGAGTCTAATGGTGATTACGAAGATACGGTAGTTCGGAAAACTCACTCTGATCGTTCTGATAAGAAAAGAACTGCCGATTTGTTGGTGAGGGCCTGAGACTCAACACGGAGGACAACATCTAATGCCTTAAGGAGATAGTGCTATCCTGGGTCAAGAGTGTGTCTGCAGGAAGTCCCTATATCTGGCAACAGGGCTCTGCAAAATGCCATACAAGCAGGAGAACCCTCTCATGGTTATTAAACAATTTCTTCGACCACATCATCCCTTATATCTGACCACTTAGCTCTCCGGACTTGCAACCAGCTTGATTGTTATGCGTGGGGCGTAGTCGAGAGAGAGACCAACCAAACTCCGTGTAATACCTGAAAGTAAAGATTATGGTAACATTCACCAACTTAAACAAGGAGACCGTCCAGAAGAGTTGCTGGAGATTCTGAAGCCATCTGGAGGACGTGGTTGAAGCCAATGGCGATTTTATTGAATAAATTTACTCTTTAGTATTTCAAGATATTTTGGTAAATATATCAGTTAAAATGAGATGGTGTTATTTTCATTTTTACGTAATTTAGACGGCAATTTCTCCATCGCATCCCATATATATATATATATATATATATATATATATATATATATATACATGCACACACACGTACATATATACTCATATATATATGCACAAATATGCATACGCACATGCACGTGCATGTAAAAACATATTATCATACTTGTTCACGTTCTCATTCTCTCACACACACGCACTCACACATACAGACATATATAAACATATATATATACACGCAAACGAATATACACACATGCATATATACAAACACATATATAAACACGCATATACAAACATATTATCACACGCATATAACAGACACACATATATACACGCATACACACACACATATATAAACATACATATATACACGCAGATGCACACACATATACATACGCATGTGCAAAGACATATACACAGACATATATACACAGACACATTCACACACCTATATATATATATTTATTAAACACGACAGACAAGGTAGTATGGTTAAGCTATTTATTTAATTTTTCTTGTGTTCCCAAAAGACCTTGGGGCAGAGTGTGTAGAAACTGTCCAAATGTTCTATAATTTCGGGGGCTTCCGGCTATGCTTTTAGCAATTATCAAGGATAATTTTATTTTTTCAGTTTACTTGTGTGTCTGCGTTATGTGTATATTTTTAGTGTGTTACAGAGTTGGCTTTTTCTTATTTTTATTATTATTATTAGGGCTTCCATTATCTTTAATCTTTTTTTACGGCTGGATGAGGTTAATATGTTTATGTTTTCTACTAGTATGTTTCGAATGGAGTCTGGTAGATTTGTGTGTCTGCTTAAATGGGTTTTAATAGAGCTCTGGTCAAATAGGTGTAACATAAGGCGTCTAGATAGGCATGTGGTTGTGTGACCTATGTAATTATTTATAAGTTCGGTTTGATCAGGAACAGAGTTCCTTAATGGGCATTTGAACGCATAGATAATGTTTGTTCGTTGTAAATCACAAGAGTGAACATTGTTGTTTGTCCGGCTTTCACTCTCCGTAGTTCCTGAGTACTTGTGGCATTCTCGCCTTTCTTGGGGTGAAATGATGAAACAAATATATATATATATATATATATATATATATATATATATATATATACACCTAGTGAGCCTTACTTTCCCTGACGATCCGTTTAGGTGAAGCCTGGGTAGGTTTGTCTGGCTCACTAGGTGTATCTAGGTCTGCTCTACGGTTGTATTGAACGCTTTTGTTAGTTAGTTGTTTACTCGTATCGGGTTTTTTCTTTGGGCTTCAGACCTGCATCTGTGCGATTTTTTTTATCGGCAGAAGTTCATGTTTGTGGCTCTTTCTTTTTTTTTAAAACCATTTTTTCCCTCGAGATTGATTTGATTATTAGCAAATCAAAAATTCGAGGGCTTTTCAAAACGAGTCTAGTTATCTATAATTATATATATATATATATATATATATATATATATAGAGAGAGAGAGAGAGAGAGAGAGAGAGAGAGAAGTGTGTCCATAAAGTTTGTGTGCACTTTAAATAATTTATAACTTTAAATTGCACAAGAACTTTATGGACACTGTATATATCACTGAGAGAATGATATTGTCATTAAGAGTTTATTTTGGTTAGAAATAATCTAATTAACGCTAACTAACGCTAAATCTTTTCTAATGGATTAAGAATAAATCTGTATATAAGCATCTAAATTGCATCTACGTGTTTTTCCTTCTCTTTAAGGATTTGTTCTGTTATCTTCATCTCAATAGAGAGAATTTTCCTTTTTCTGAAAATAAAACTTAATCACTTTAATCAGCAGAATGATATCAATCATAGTTTTAGGCATTTATGAGAGTTAAAAGTTTTTGTGAAACGCCACATATTTGGGTGTAATATGCACTTTCTACAAATGGTTTTCCTTTCCTAAATTGAACACTCAGATACAGACTAACATGGAAAGCTCACATGATATTATAAGTGCATATTACCTTCATAGAAAGTACATTGACCAAATATAGGCGGTCATCATTCGATACAGATGGATTAAGCCGAAAAAAGAACTTCAATGTGGGGTACTTTGTCCTTCCACGATATGCCCAGGATGCAGCAGATACACCTTAAGTGAAAAAGTGTTCAGTCTCTTCTGTTTGCCACACGCCGTCCATGTACGGTTCGCATAGAGAAGTGGCCTTATGATGCAGGCATTGTAGACTGTCTTGACAGAGGGCTTGGAGTTCTCCAACACTCACGTGATGAGGCGAGCGAATATGGTTGCTGTTTTCCCAATCCTCTTGTATATTTCTGTGTCCAGGGTGAGGGTGGCTGCTGATCGTAGACCCGAGGTGCGTGAACTGCTTCGCAACTTCCAGTCCGTAGTCGTCAAAGGGGATGATTGGTGGCACATCGACAACCTGTACTAGGACATCTTTTGTGATTCGTCAGAGTTTTGAGCGCGTCTTGTGTGTAGATTGCGACTGCAGCATCATCCGCAAACAGATCGTGCAAGATTAAACAGCCTGCCGTCCGATCTGGTGTGAACGCAGACCCCTCGATGTCATGCTTCAAGAGCGAGGTGAAGAAAACCCCAAAGAACGTGGAGGTAAGCACGCAGCCTTGTTCAACGCCGCTGTCAAATGGCTCCGATATGCTTCCGTCATACTGTACCATCCGCTTCATGTTAATGTGGAAAGATTCTATGTGCGTTGCAGTTTTGGTGAGCATCCTATCTTAGGCAAGATCTTAAATAGATATTTTCTGGTAACCAATGCGAACGTCTTCGTGAGATCGATAAAGTCGATGAACAAGAGCATGTTCTGTTTGTTATTCATAATGACGGTCGTCTTCGTGTATAGAATTCAGAGGTTAGCAGTGAATATTTCGAAGACAGTAGGAAAGCGTTGTTCAGGTTAGCAGTGGATATTTCGATAAAAGTAGCAGAGCATAGTTCATCCTTCTGTTTCTCTTCGCCTGACAAGCTGGACTGGCCATTCGGGTAGAGTGAACAAAAATGGCCGCCTTTATACACGACGGATTGAATGTTCTACGTCTTCTGATTGGTTAACCTTCTATTGCTGGACTATAAAGGGAGATAAGTCATTTGAGCTAACTCACTAGTTACATAGATATACACAAAAAACTGTAACACTGTTCCCTGTATTTTTTCCTGTAGCTGGAGGAAAGAGAATATCATGTCTACTCTCGATCTGTTGGCGCGAAATCTGCGCTGCGATTCAGGGTTGACACGTTCTGCAAGTTTCTGTAATCAAAAGAGAATGACACGTGCGTATATTTTTCCAACAATTCTGAGGAGAGAAATCCATTTATAGCTGTTGCAGTCTATTTTCTCGCCCTTTTTGTAGAGGGTGTGGATCTTGGTGTCCCACATGTTCTGTGGTACATCTCGCTCTTGCCAGCACTGGTAGAAGACTTTATGCAATAGGAGCAGTAGGGCTGTCTTGCAGTGATTGATAAGGTCCGGTGGTATTCTATCGCTGCATGGAGCATTTCTCGCAGCCAGACTATCACCCAACGGCCGTTCAGCATCCAGCATATCAATGGATGGCAAGCATGTGATGGCATTGACGGCTGACGCAGACACAGTGTTCTATTTCGAGTAGAGATCAGAATAATGTTCCACACATCTCTCCATCTGTTGGTTCTTGTTAATGAAGATTTGAGGGGGGCTGACGTAGTCTGGACTTGTCCAATACCCTCTTGACACCATTGCTCATTCATCTGATGTTCCTCATCATGGCCGCAGTCTGGATCTCTTCACTAAGCTAGGTACAGTATTCATTGGGGCAACATCGTGCTGTCTGTTGGACATTGCTTCTTGCAGTTTTAGAAGTCTGAAGGTTCCTTTCAGTAGAAGTCTTTTTTGTACTCAGTGAGAGCTGCGCGTTTGGCTGCAATGATGGGTGTCATCTCAAAATACTTTGCTTCAAACCAGCTATGAAATAATATTAATAATGACTTGCCTAATTACGTTATTGATGAACAAATTAGACGAGCTATTAAAAATATTAACATAAACCAAAAAGAAATTAATACTTCCTCAAATAACACTAAACATATTAACCTATTATACCAAACTCAAATACACTCTAACTACAAACTATAACACACCCCTTCCAACAGGGTCATATGCATAGTCACGGTCACCAATTAATATAACGCCTTTTAGCCCTCGCTTACACCCGACGGTGCAACGCCGTTTAGTGGTCCGGTCCTCAGGGTCTCAGGACTATGCTTTAAACCACAGGGCTAACTCTGTTCTGGTCAATGCTGACGCTGATCCAAGCTGGTTGTTATCCGCTGGCCGTTTTGATCCATACCAACTCTGCCCACGTTGTGTTCTCAGAGCGGTGGAAGATCGAATATCGTCGTAACGGCAGCGCAGGTCCAAGCCGTAGCATGTGCTGCATTAAGGACGAAAAATATCTTCTCGACGAAAAAATAAAATGAGAGATTCATGAGTTCAATCTTCAAGGGGTTTATATAGCTCTTGGTACAACAAAAATTAAACCTTCCCGCATCAATCTCTGTAGTGACACTGGACTTCGTCGAAACCTCTGGAGGAGCCCGCTTCAAAGTTCTTGGACTCAATAAATCTTGTGTCAGCTAACGTGGACTCCAGAGGCATTCGATGCGGGTTCTCAGCCCTAGTCTCTGATCTTCCCAAAGTCATCTGCTTATATGTACTTCGGCCCAAAACAGGCGTGGGATCGAAGGGTTCTTGGGGTTCGGTGATTCCGCAATTGTCATTAATCACAGTAAAGCTTTTCATTGTTCCCTATTTCTGCTTTCTTAATCAACTTTCTAAATTTGAAGAAATACTCACCTTTTTGGGGAGTACTCACTGGGTTTGCGCTTCCTTTAACTCCAACCTGCTTCACTTCACATTTAGCACCGTCACTCCACACAGGCTAAATTTTGACCCTTCCTCCTTCCTTCTCGGTATTCTAACTCCGTCCCCTACTGTCTGTGATAAATCTAATTTTTAAAGTAGTAGGTGAAAGGGCGTACTTTATTCTCCTCATTAATTTCAATTCTCTGACTCCATTTTTCCCTATCAGTACATATGCCCTACGAGAAAACAAACCATACCACTGCTTTACATTTTAATTTTCTGATCGATAGATAGATAAAAATTATCTTCCAATTTGTTTTCGTCAACGAAAATATATTTGTTTACCTAAATTCTTTACAACGTGACACGCTACTTTCCATCCTTGGGCCGATCACCGTCTTAGCGAAAACATAAACCAGACCAACTTCCTTTTACGACAAGATCGATTTTCATAATCCTAAGCCTCGCAGCTGGTTCATTTTCTGTTTTCATTTCTCAATTCCTTTTCGCCAACGAATACATAATTCCCATCCGCCTCTCTTCTCGCCAATGGCATGTGTTTTTCTAATTTCCCAAGAAAGAGATAAAGCCAGTTTCCAGTTTGCTTTACCCGTACACCAGATTTTATAGCGATAAAAGAAAGTAAACTCTTGGTGCATCGTTCCAATTCGTAGGGGCGTAACAATCTTGATGGCCCTTTTTCTACTTCCCCATTACCAGGGAATATATCTTGCATTCTCTCTCTCTATATATATATATATCTATCTCAATATCTTCCAGTTTATATTTCATTTTAGACTTAACTCTTTTAATATTTAACCACCTCACAGATTTGGTGTTACATCATTCCCTTCCCTAAAACGAGAGAAAAAACATCAACTAGAAATGTTCTTCTTGCATAGTTTTTCTACAAAACATGCAGTAAAATTGAAAGGTGCTTCTTCTTTTCCGTTTCTTGATCATGTATCATTAAATTATAACTATAATCATATATTATAATTATCATGATCATTAAATTATAATTTAATCATTCAACCTTGGTCTCTTAACTTCCCCTTTTAATTTACTCTTTCAACTTGGGGGTCGCAACTCCCCTTACTTTTGTTTCAATTAATGTATGTTTATCTTTTTCCTGGTTTGTCCTTCTTTGTCAATTTCCCTGTTTCTACAATAGTGGGTTTTGTTTTTCTTTCGACAGCTGATTCGATCTGTTTCGGTAAAGAACGCTAAATGGCGTCCCTCTCTCGTTCTCATTGACACTCGCCAACACCTTCGGATTAATGGATTTCATCCTGTGCTTTCTCAGCCTAATTTAGCAGAATAACTGATTCCTAACTCCTTGAGAGCGCCTCGTTACGCCTGCTTGGTCTCACGCTGTCCACTGACAGGAGGTGGAACAAATGCATTGAAACAATAGCTTCAACTAGCGCAAAGAAAGCTGGCTTTCTGCGTCACGCAAGAAAGTTTTTCTCGTCTGAGTCCATCCTTCAAATCTATAAATCAAAACCTTGCATGGAATATTGCTGTCATATATGGTCTGGTGCTCCCGCGGTACGTCTCGACATCCTTGACAAAATCCAGAAACGAATATGCAAAATGATAAATCCTGATCTGATCTAGTCTACAATCGCTATCCCACAGACGTTCCGTGGTCTCCCTCTATCTCTTCTCCAAATATTTTCTAGGCAACTGTTCCGATGTGCCAGTTTCGCTGATTCCCAGACTGCATGAATTTAAACGAGCTACTAGGCTGGCATCTCGGTGCCACCCTTTCACTGTCAAAACGGTTAAATGTAACCGTGTCTTCTTCTCAAACAGCTTCTTCTCCCGCGCTTCCCGTCTGTGGAACTCCCTTCCCCTTACTTGCTTCCCCGATGACTATAATCTTCAAAAATTCAATTGTAATGTCAATCAACATCTGACACCCTGAGTTTGTTTCCTGTCTGTATCCTTTCCTCAAACACGCCTCTTTACTCTTGTTCTCAATCCTCTGTAACCCCTTTGCGTGATAGTGGCACTCCCGCCTTGCTTGGGGTGAATTGCTTAAAAAAAAAAAAAAAAAAAAGGCCATTTGATTATGTTCTCTCCGAATTGTACTCTTTTCTCCCATTGTACTCAATTTGTCTTTCAGAAGGTCCAGACTAATTTTCTCTACTGGCTTTAATAACATCGACATATCCTTTTATGCAACTTCAGGGAATTTCTCTCTCTCTCTCTCTCTCTCTCTCTCTCTCTCTCTCTCTCTCTCTCAACCCTCACAAATGAAAGTTACTCTTCTCAGATTTCATCCCAAACATATAACTCAGCTAATTTTAGATCATTAGCATGAGTTCATTTAACGCTTCCACCATTTGATTCCAGATACAATCTGAAAAACTACTGCCTCCTGTTTAACACGTTTAGAACTTTGCATTGAACATTTACAGCTTTTTACTCATTCTTTCTAATTTCGCACAGTTTTCGTTGAGTCATTCCTCTTTAGCTAGGCGGCATTTGATCCGAATTTAATTGGGAAATGTTCTGTCCATAGCTTGGTATTATTTTTTGCCTCCTTTTTATCATCTTAAAAAATATATCCTATCATACATTTGTATTTCCCTTGTCTAGTTTTCTCTGGGGTGATCTATTTTGCAGTTTTTACTAAAAATTATCTTAATGTCTCTCCCTTTGAATTTTCAATTACAGAGTAAAAAGAAGCAATTTTTTTTCTCGAAGAAAATACAACTTTAAAATATGGGAGTTATTAATGCCGCACCCTGTATAAGCCACAAGATATATATATATATATATATATATATATATATATATATATATATATATATATATCTAGTAAGCTGTATACCACACACTAGATCGTTACATATAAGCTCTACCTACATATGTTAATAGATAGCTAAAATCTATTTAATATTATATCTTACAAAAATAATATTGGATATTTGTTTCAGACGAAATGATAGCATGCAATTTATTTTTATTTTTTTAAGTATAAATTACTTTCCCAAGCTCTTGCCCTGACATATAAGCGATCTAATCTTGGCATTTTAAGCGCTCCCCCACCCCCACTCTTTTCCTTATCTTTAACCAAAATATCCCTGTATTTGAACGTGGGTGGGAAAAGGACACCTGCTGAATCGTGGACGCCAGAAAGAGAGTGAACAAATTTGATTGTCAAAAACTCGCCAACAAGTTTTTGACAATGTCAGACGCGTACCTGTTAACTCGACCCCTGGGTCAGGGAGAAGGTGTTATGTACTCCTAAAATACGTATTGGGTTAATCTGACAAAACAGACTCGTTATTACGTGTTACCAGCTTCAAATTTCGATCGTGAGAACTCACAGTTAAATTTCATTGTTAAATCAAATTATTACACTACTGTTAAATCCTCCCCAATGATAGGAAAATCTTAGAAGCGTATTTATCACTTGTGTGTTCATGTGCCTGAGCAATTGCTTCGAGAAACATGTTTATTCTATCCGAATTCAGCATTCTTCTTTTTTATTATAGAATTTATCGAACGCTCGAAAGACTCTCAAATTGGACACAATCTGCATATATAAAACAGAGAATGTCTGTGTCTGTCTGCCTGTCTGTGGGATTTTTTTTCCGCTCGAGATCCATCCAACCAATTGTGACAAAACTTTGCACATACATTGTACAATGTAAAAGATAGATAATAATCGATAAAGCCGATCAAATATCGATAAATTCAACTTTTGTCTTTCGATTTCGTTCAAACTCAGTTTGTAGGTTACTTACATCATGACGAGCTCAATGATACCTCATTTTTATTTCTGCACCACTGCATTTAGCGAAAAGCCACGAAAAACGAAAAATCGACTTCAACACAAATTTTAACCTAAAAACTCTCTCAATTTTGAAGCAAACTAATACAAACTATATATAAATAGCCGAGAAAAATAACAGCACTCGTGACCTGACGATTGCATCTAGCATGAAACAGACAGTCGCCTCTAAGTGTTGACTTCTATGTTCACTTTTATATATATATATATATATATATATATATATATATATATATAGCTTGCGATGGATAAATTATCGTCTAAATTACGCAGCAATGAAATAACACTGACAACTCATTTTAACAGATATATTTACCAAAATTACACAAAGATATCTTGAAATACTAAAGAGTAGATTTATTCCATAAAATCGCAATTGTCATCAACCACGGCCTCCAGACGACTTCGGAATCTCCTGCGACTCTTCTGGATGGTCTCCCTGTCTAAGTTTGGCGTGCGCTACCATAATCTTTGCCTTTAGTATCATCTTTGGTGTGACATGGAGTTTTGTTGGTCTCCAGCTTAACTACGCCCCACACATAATAATCATAGTGTTGCAGTCTGGGGAGTTAGGTGGCTAGATGTAAGCCATGACTAAATGCCAGCCATGACTAAGTGCAATACCGGTGTATTAACTTATTTATTAATATATATTTGGTCATCCACATACAAACTTGTTTCGTAGTATCACAACTCAGCAATGTGACTAGACATCCCATTGTCAAGCCGGGATCGAAACCCGACCGATTTGGCATCAGTCGGAGATCCTACCTGTACTCAATTCATTAATGGAAAGCGGTGCGTTAATAGCGGTGACGGCTACAGTTTTGAAAGTAGCTTTTTCTTAATAGTGCCCAATGAAAATGAAGAGAGCCTAATTTGGTCATCCACATACAAGCCTGTTTCGCTGTGCCACAGCTATATATATATATATATATATATATATATATATATATATATATGAATAAATATAGCTTAAAGGTACGCTATATTTATGGGATTAAGTGCTCAATATCTGAGATAAAGAGTATGTAAATATGAAAGTGAACATTGAAGTCAACACTCAGTGGCGACCGACTGTTTCATGCTAAACGCAATCATTAGACCATATATATATATATATATATATATATATATATATATATATATATATATATATATATATATAGAATATATAGAGAAGTTCAGAGCAGATAACACTGGAAAGATTTTAGAGTCCCATGAAAATAAGTGGATACAACGTCTAAAAACAATATCCAGCCGGGCTAAACCATAAATTTAACAATATAGATAGTACTAATATATAACTCAACAAATCAAAACCTACCCACATTTCTCACCCACACAAGACAGACATGCATACGGAGGTGTGGAGGCCTCACAATTATACACACACCCACACGAATATACACACTCACACACATCATACTCACTCACTCCTTAATGAGCCAAATGATAACACACACCCACAGCAATACACACGCTTACACATATCATACTCACTCACTTCTTAAGAACCAAATAACACACACACAAACACTAAACACAGACACATCCCCTCTCCAGGCCAATAAAACTGTCAAACTGACCAGGGGAATTCAGAGAAGCATAGATCTATCCAGCTCTTATCTCAAATAACAACTTAAAAGAGACTGTTTGGCCAACACAAGGAATGTTAAAAGATTCATGTTAAAAAGATAAAAAACAAATAAAAAAACAAAACAAATAAAAACTACAGACAAAAGTTCATTTTCTCCAGCAAGACATTCATTTGTGTAGTTTACTGCTACCAGCAAGCAGAAATATTTCTTCTCCTGATGATGGCCATTTTGGGGCCGAAACTAGTCAAGGAATCTAAATGAAATAATAATAAAAAAACGAAATAATATTAATGTACAACCCAGTGTGTCTGAAGATTTTAATTAATTTAGTATTTATTTATTGTTCAATATATATATATATATATATAGAGAGAGAGAGAGAGAGAGAGAGAGAGAGAGAGTTTGTCTGATGATCTCAAAAGCGTGAAACCCAGGGTTACAAAATCATATCCGTACAACTATATATATATAGTCCGGATAACAGGATCCATTGGCATATAATCCGGGAGGATCCTAGTAATATTATTAAAAATGATCCACAGAGAGATCGACGTATTTATTATAACAGAGCATACGTATTTTTACAACAACAAAAAAATTATGTCAACATGGGATAGTCCATTTCAAGCCGTAAGTATGTGACCATCATCAGTCCCGAAGTGTCTGCCTCGGAGCATTGTTTTAATTTATTTTCAATGTCAGTCCTTAGAGGTGTATGTGTGTGTATAGTGGCATATATGTATGGACATGTAAATGTACATATATGTATTTTTGAAAATATATACGCATATATGTATGTTAGACAGCAGGATTCATTCCACTAGGTGATCTGATATTACCCACAATCTATAAGTCTAAAATTCAACTAATTTGCATTAATCTTTAGAGGTTTAAGTTTAAGTCCTCCATCGCTTATTAATAATATTAGACACCAGTAGTACAAGAACTGTTTACCGTGAACCCCAGAAAAACACACTCTGGGCTCGTATAAGAAACGCCACATATTAGGAACTGATATTACACTACAAACGACGAAAGGTTCTAGCCATAAATAAACTCCAACCCCAGACCGCTTTCCCCGGGACAAGATACCTTATGCCTCCACCAGTCGCTAACACAAACCCATTCTCCTTAACAAGGCGTCTACCAGAGGAGGACTGACATTGAAAATAAATTTAAAACAAAGCTCCGAGACAGACACTTAGGGGCTGATGATAGCCGCGTAAGGTATAAAGGTGTTTTGCTACAATGCATGTAGCATGGCGAGTCCTAGCCGTGAAGGTGAAAACTGGCGAAAACAATGAATGTAGTTTGTCCGGGCATTTTTCATGTTAGTAGCGATAGAGCAGTGAGAGATTCGCCACATTCGGCCTGTGAGAGAGAGGTTGGAGGGTGGAAAATAATTCTTCTTCAAGAAGGACACTTAGACGTTTTCGGACTCTTTCAAAACTGAAAAGTGAGGATTAGGTAGCTCCTGCCTAAATATGGCAACAGTACTCTATTTTAGGTCTGCTCTGGCTCTTATAAACGTAGAGGATAGCATGAGGTGTCAGGTACTTACTGAAAAAGGTACAGGGAATATATATATATATATATATATATATATATATATATATATATATATATATATATACTAGCAGCATGGCCGGGAGTTGCCTGAGCTTGATTCAAAAATCGTACAACTCATAAAGCAATTGCTATCACACGACTTAAAAATATTTTTTGCCCTTCCTTGCCTTTAAAGGAGATCCCTTTGCCGAGCTGATATTGTTACATGCCTTACTTCTTGCCTATCTCACACTGCGAATTTTTTCTAAGCTCTATACTAAATCTGTTACGAAGAAAGAACTAAACAAAATGAACACAAAACGATCAGCTTTAAAAAAGGACTCGTAACTGGAAAAACCGAATGAAAAAAGAATGTTAACAACAAATACTTTTTCACAACCAACCCAGTTCTGCGGAATCAGAATCAACGTTGTGTTTAAGCAAGCGAATGAGCCAATTGGAGTAAAGTGCCATGCAGATTTAAATTTTTCCCACTTGTGACGAATGCAGCTATTGATTTTTTTTGCATGCTAGTTAACATTCGTGTCCGTCAGCTGTTGGCTCTCACGCTGGCCAATAGAATCTTCCTGCCTATTCGTGGCTGCCATCTATAGGCTCTCACTCTGGTCAGTACAAAAATGGCCGCAAACTACATGAAAACTGCTGCAGAAGCATGAAAAAATCGATTATTTCCACTAACGATGAGAGTTGGGAAATGCAAAGTCGGTCTTGGCCTTCCCGCTAACTTGGAGCATGTTCATATAAATTTTGGTGCAAATCCGTCGAAAATTGCGGCCGTGCATTCGTTACACACACACATCCTGCCTTTTATAAATAGAGATATATAAAGTGGAGCTCATATATATATATATATATATATATATATATATATATTTCGAAAAGCTAAACCAAATATTAAGAAACGTAAAAAATTCGTTATAAACAAAGGAAATGTACTGAACTGCTATGTAATATGTAATCTCTTCTATTTCAGTTAATGTTGGACTATTTCCTCGCAGATGAAGAAGAAACTTGAAGCAACAGAGACCCTTCATTGCATTCTGTCAGGAATCTCGAATTATACGACGGAAGAATCAGACCATATGTGGTCAACATTGGTGAATGTCAGATTTGCTAGAAATATCACTGATTGTTAGTTAAAACAAAGTACCAACTAAAATAAATTAAGTGTCAATTTTTGACCCCTTCAATGAGAAACTTCCCTTTATTTCCCGAGAAGTCATGGCAATTCACAGATAATAACGAAAAAGGACCTGCGTGCATCGTACCTACGCTGTTTTAACAAGACATGTAGGGATTGAATCCTGTAAACGCTTGTCGAGGTTGTCTGTGTATGTATATGTTAAACTAAATATGATTTACGCTTCGTAAATATATATGTGTTTGTGTACGTGTGTGTGGGTGCGTCTGTGAGTATGTATGTGTGTGGGGGGGTGTGAGTCGCACGCATTTAGTGTCGAGGACAGTCAATTTGATAAGTTTGTTTTATATATATATGATCATCTCACCTTTACTGGTTATAAACAACGGTCGCAACTTGTCTGTAAATAAATAATTTTTTATGCGTGAATATGCTTGACAATTGTGTAGACCTGTTCATAGTTCACACACACACACATACACACACCCCATATATATATATATATATATATATATATATATATATATATATATATATATATATATATATATGTTTATACAGATGCTATAGGAGCCAATGAAAATGAAAGTCTGTCCACTCGTGTTGATTGAATCTATTAAATAAATTATGTCTATCTATCATCATTCCTTGCTTTATATTAAGTTTTTTTCGTTTTCATTTCTTTTTTCGTTTTGGTGACCCCTTTATGTTTTTGTTGATCCCATCGTTTTAATTTTTCTCACATACAAGTCAGTCACAAGCTAAAATTGAATAGAAGCAGAAGCATTTTTTGGTTTCCATGATTTATTTAGCCCACC